TTCCAGTGTTCATTGGGTCCTTCGGCTGGCGGTTGAATTGACAGGCGATCGGAGAGCTCCGCTTTGAAGGCCGTATCGCGGATATCCGTTATCGGTGGCTTTTTTTCGGTTATTTGCCAGGCTTAAGGAGAACTTGGCTCGTATCAAGGCGTGGTCTGTGTCCACAGCTGTTGACCAGTGAGGGAATGGACAAGATGAGGCGTTTCTGAAATAAAATGTTTTCAATTGAACAGATAGTTAAATGTCTGTCTTGGTTGCATTGAGGCAACTAGACTGATAGTCGTCGTGAAAGAGCTTGAACCAATAATTCCGGTCAACTCAGTTGATATAAGCCCTTCATGTGAGAGACTTGGATCGCGAGTTTCGGAGGGGTTGGTAGATAAGTTGTAAAAAACCGAACTCTAGTGCTTCCGACTGTGCAGTTGACTGAGTGAAAAGAGGATTGCGTGAGAAATCTGAGGGATGGTTAGTTTGAATCAGAAACACTTATTCCATGCCTATTCACATAAGTGCATGCGTGTCAGAATGAAACTTCTTTTCAATCAGCACAATTGACCCAATGCTTCCCGATTCACACCGCAACAAAACAACTATACTCACCTGCGAACCATGTCATTCCCAGCCGGAGCAGGTGTCTCCTCTTCTGATGGGGTGGATTGTGACTGTTTGGAATAGCCCAACTTTGCATTTAGCCGCTCTGCGGCTTGTTCGGCCAACGTACGACTGGATGGAACTGACCCCGCACCGTTATTTCCTGCGGAAGCAGCAACAGCTGCGGCTGCTGCAGCCGCCGCCGCAGCGGCAGCAGAACTTGCCGGGCCACTGGTCACAGGCGAGTTTCCCTTAAGGACAGCAATCGCAGTGGCCTGAGCTGCATCCGCGCGACTGACCGGTGTCGGTGCAGGTGCATTCAAATTCTTGGTTAAACCGAGTTGGGCAGCTTTTTGACGGGCCAACGCCAAGGCTGCACTTATCGGGCCCTGGTTAGCCTGAGCGCTGTAAAGATTGAGAAGTACGCAATAGCCGAGTATGCATATCAAACAATGGAAAACAAGACTCGGTCTGAGCGTTATCAGTTTAAAATGAAACGGCCCAGATAACCCAAACTGTGTCAGAAAATACCGAAAACTCATCTGAATCGATTTTCAGTTCTAATGATGCAATAAAATGAGTTCCATTAAACAAAACAATTCACTCCGGGAACCATTTCTTAAATCACTAAAAGTCCAACTGAAACCGAATGAGACGTCTGAGTAAAACATTCTTTTTCGGATGCCAAAGTGCAGCTTGTGTGAAAGTAAGAAAATATAGCTAAACAAATGCTCTATTTTGATTGGCGTATTCCCTTTGGTAGACAGTTCGAGGTGTCAACAGGTGCTATTGAGAAAGATGTAGAGCATCTAGGCCTCCAATCAGTCTACGGGGTTCAATACGGGTTTAATTAGGTCCCAATGCGGGCAGAACTGCTTTGAAACTGCTGCGTCTAGTCAGCAATGACCTGCGATTTCTACAGAGCCAATTTATCTCAGGGAAGAGACGGATGCATGAAAGTAATATAAACAATCGATTATACAGGTGCATCAAGAGTTCTTGTACACCGGATAGTCAGAATCTCAAATAACTCTAGTAGAATCATCAGTTTCACTGATGCCGATAACCAGTTAAAAATTAAAGATCATTAACGCAGATTTCATTGTAGCTTGAACCAGCGAAGTTGTGACGTCTGATCGTTCCTAGCAAAATTGATCCCGTTCACCGAAACTTGGTGCACAAGCAAAAACCGATAATCAGCAAGCAAAACTTCTTTTGCGCTTTTGACTGTCTGCGGTCCTATGTGTAACCGCTCATTCCGGTACTACTCAATCCAGAACGATAATTGAGAAATGGATCAACGGCATATCGACTCGATCAAACAGTGCATTGACTAAGAAGTTTGATTAACTCCGAGCATAGGAAACAAGCGGATTTCTAGCCCTCGCATAATGGACACAGTAAATACAGAGAGATAGAACATTGAGTTTAGTAGGGGTAGCAATCAAGACAAATAGCACAGATGTAAGATATAAGGTGAAAGATGCTTAAGGAGGGAGAGATATTTACTCTGTTGCCAAAGTCCTTTGATTGATAATCAAATGAAACAAATTAGGGAGACTTAGAGCTCAAAGGCGTGTTTCGGTCAAATCCTCAACAGTGGTGGTGGTCAAGCAGAGGGTGTTTGAAGCCAACAACATCGCCTAACTTTCTAAATTTCCCAAGTGTTATGTGACAGCCCTCTGATTACTCGCTTCCCCTTAATGAAAAACGCATCATTGTATATTCTATAAACAAAAGTATGGTAAAGGCTAAAAGTTAAGTGGTAAATTCTACATTGTTAAAGATACTTATTCCTGTAACATAGCATAACGTGAATAAATTAAAGACAGCTCTTTTGAGGCGGTCCTGGGTATTGCATGCGTTAGTACCATCAGAAGAAAGAAAACGATGTACCGAAAAAGTCAAGGATGGAAGGTTGTCATACAGAAAGTCGTTTTACATACTGAAAGATTTCTAAACGTCTTCCAATAGTGGGCTTGCTCGAATGCGTCCTAAGAATAAAAATCGTTAGAAGATGGGTGGCATTTATTGGCAAAGCCGGGTCTGGAGATGGAAGACGATTAGTAGCCAAAAAGATAGAAGGAAAAGAAGACAGAATGAAGCATGGTATTAATTTACACAAACCAAAGCAATGCTAATCAAGACATTAAAGCATCAAAAAAGCAGATAGAATGCCTCAACAAACAAGTGGATTATGCCACGCGAGTATGAACGTACTACATCAGAATTTATACAGCTGTACTTACGCGGCGGCTGCGGCAGCAGCAGCTTCTGACATTGTCTGTTCCAATGTGTTCGATTTGACAATATCAGTCACTTTGCGTTTCGTGGCTAGCATATCTTCGATCTTTGAGTCCCAGTCTACTGCACCAGGATCGGGTTCCTCGTCATCTGAATCTTGCAAGCCGAGGGCAGCCTTTTGGGCTTTCCGTTTTTCCGAGGTGAGCAAAGCCTCAGACTCGTCAAATTGAAATCCTTTACCGCGAAATCCGGATGAGCCGTAAACCTTTTTCCCCTCCTGTAGGTGTATGGGAGGGGGTAACAGAGCAAAATGTGGATAAAAAGTTCATAATTCCTAGTATTAGTCTAATTCCATATAAGATTTATTCACTGTTCGTTTAATTGATTCTCATCAGTGGTTAGGATTATAAGCGACTAACAAGCATCAATCATATGCTGAATTTCAGCCTGTACAGAGCAGGCGAAACATGTCCTGAAAATTTGGTTCGACCTGGTAGGGGTCTCTCAGCGTTGAGAATCCAACGATCCCCTAAGTTGTTCAGTTTGTGAAGATCTGGACAGTAAGGTCAAAATCTTTCACACAGCACAGTTCGCCCATAAACAATGCTTGGTTCGATTATCGAAACAGATCGTCGTTTATTACCGCAAATCACATGACCACGTATATGCTACATTGCCGAATAAAAATTAACATTTTCGAGTAAGCACTTGCAACATCGTGCGTGATTGACGAATTCCCACTTCAGCAACACTCACACTTGCTCTGCACGTATCGCGGACACTTATCCCTAATCTGCTGCACACGTAGTATTGGGAATCATTTAAACTATTTGATTTTCGGCGTACTTACTATTCTATATATTCATCAATTGTAAGGGTGATCTAATTTTGCAGTAGTATATCAAGGCATTCATCCTTGTCTCCCTACAGCGAACTATACACAATGTTTCAGCTGGATATGGTTGGAAGTAGTTCAACGGAGGAGGTGGGAGAAAATGAACCTCTAAGATTAACACCCAGTTTGACCATATAGACACACCTTTTGAAGCATTCTGGTCAGATAAGCAAAGACAATAAGAACCGCTGTCGTCGATGCATTGTCATCACCTACAGTTTCGAACCAACCAGTGGACGATCGCATTTACCTAAAAATCTCCGCCTAACCTCAGCATTGCTCATCCGGCTGCCCCACCAGATTCGTGCAATGTTTCGAAGACAGCAGTGTTCAAACACCGACAGTCTGTCTTTATCTTGTTTT